CTATACATAATATTAACCGTATATCTTTATTTAAAGTGCATGTCCATATGGCACAGGTTTGATATACCGGGTGTCCCTCAAAAGTGGCTCACCCCCATATTTTTCTTTATTATTAGTGATATAAGAAAACCATCTGGAGTGCATAATTAGGCCGTTAAAACGGATTATTACGACATGAAATCATACTCTTTGTACTTCCGGTTATACCGGATGTGAGTACTAATTTCGCTATTTTTTTAAATCTTTAAATTTTTTTTCTTCATTTGAGTAGACAGCATAATTTCACATAACTTTTACTTGAAAAAATTTTCACGATCGCTTATAATTTTTGAAAAAAAAATTATTTTCGTTGTTTTTCAACGTTTTAGTATCTTCGGAAAATGTATTACTACATTTGACGCATAGTAGCTAGGTTAATAGTATAAACTACGTTATGTTCCTCTTGATTTGTTCTTGCTCGAGCAGTGATCACTGCCACGCTTTAGTCAGCGGTTCTTTTTTAATAATGGTGTAAATTAACAGTTGTATTAAATTAGTTTTAAAGGAAAAACGCGAACAAACAACTAATTTAATTCAATTGTTTTTGATCTTTTATTTTTTATTTTTTGTTCTTTTACACTAAATGTTCTGTAGCTGATTGTAAATTACAATGTGCAATGTCCATTGTACATTATGGTTTGGATTGTTTACTTTATTTTGATTAAAATCTATCATGGTGACTATGGAAAAAAAATTGCTAGCAATTTGACATAACGTAAATTAAGTACGTAATTAAGTTCATTAATTGACAATACTCGTTAATTTCAATTTAAATTATGGAAAAATTCACGCAAATCGAAAAAGTAGATATGATATTAATATTTGGAGAATGCAGAAAAAACGCAGTTGCTGCTGCTAGACTTTACGCGCAGAGATTTCCTGGTCGTCGCCACCCAACAAGGCATTACTTTCCAAAAATTGTGGCGAAAATGCAAACAGAGCCGGTCAATAATGGAAACCTTAGATACATTGTAAATGGCGATACGGAACGAAATGTTTTGGCATGTATCGAAAACAACAACAATGCATCAGTTAGGGAGATTGCAATACAGTGCGAAATTTCAAAAACATCGGTGTGGAGGATTTTAAAAAAACATAAACTTCGTTCTTACAAATACCAATTACATCAACATTTGTACGAGAATGATTATGAAAGACGACTCCAGTATTGTATTGGTATTTAGAAAAATATGAAAACGAGAATGCATTTCCCTTCAAAATTCTGTATACAGGTGAGAGTCGATTTACTAACTTGGGTATGTTTAATCGAAATAATAAAAGGTATTGGGCACAAGAAAATTTATATTTGATGGAGGAAGGGAATTTCCAAGAAAGATGTGGTTTTAATTGTTGGATGGGAATCATTGGAGAAAGAGTGGTGGGTCCAATATTTTTTGATGGTCATCTTACAGGGGAAAGATACCTCAACTTCCTTAATAATGGAATTGAGGATTTGCTAGAAGACCTACCAGTTGGAACTTATAATGAATTAATTTTCCAACAAGACGGCGCCCCACTCACAACAGCAGAGTGGTTACTGATTTTTTAAGCAGAAAGTACAATAACGATTGGATTGGTAATAATGGACCAATAAAGTGGCCACCACGGTGAGAACAAACCGGTTCTTTCTCACATTTCTCCTTATTCCTATCTTTTTACCTTTCAGCTCACCTGATCTCACACCTTTAGATTTTTTTTTATGGGGCAAAATCAAAAATGAAGTGTATAATACACCTGTAAGGTCTCGTGAGGTATTAGAAAATCGTGTTAGAAACTGTATTACCCAAATATTTCCGCAGGAATTACGTCGAGTTGTTAGATCGACAATACATTTTGAAAATTTAGGAAATTAGTTTTTTTTGTCCTTATAATTGAATTAAAAGTTATGTGAAATTATGCTGTCTACTCAAATGAAGAAAAAAAATTTAAAGATTTAAAAAAATAGCGAAATTAGTACTCACATCCGGTATAA